GAACCTCGTTCACCGAGCGTACTGACGCTGCGGGATCCTTCCGCAGTTATCGAACCAGCTTTCTATATCTATACACCTCAGCCTCGTCCCGTTGAACGGTATGCATTGAAGCCACACTCCAGCTATCCTCGCGATTGTGCTTGCTTTGATGAGCGTATATACATGCGTCTAATATATTGCATATACCATATGGCGTGACAAATAGAAACCTATCGCTGCATACTTGGGCTGGATGGACCGTCGTTTTGACCCGGTATCGTGAATGTGGCTCCCTCCTGAATTACTGCCAACAACGGACGACGGATAACTTTGGTCGCGGAACTCCCGGTAAGGTAGTGCTCGCAATCCTCGGCACGAGCACTGCTGGTGTGAAGGCAACCTGACGGGAATAGAAGGGTTTGGCGGAAAGCGGGCAGACCCAGATCGGTTAAACCGTATGTGAGAAACGCGTACTCGCAACTACACTGCGAGCACGAGGCGGTGGCAATCGCCGAGCTTTCTTTCTCTACGTCGACCTCCACTCGAAATAAGGTGTTCCGGGCTCCGCCCCGTGCTATCCAACTGAACGACCATCGGGAAGTGCCCTGTGAAGCCACACCGCACGATCCCGCTGGGAGCCGCGAACTGCCATGGCGCCGCTAAAACATCCCAAACAGGCATAACGCAGCGATACGGGGTACTAGCGCAGCTGTGCCGCTCAGTGCAGAGGCCACACTGCGTTGTGGGTCCTTCGCGCGGCGCGTCACCTACGGCGCGACCAATTTCAACCTTGAGTGCGCCGACTGGAGTTCATCTTAGCGGTCCGGCCGTCTTGCCAGGCACATCGTCTCCGCGCCCCGTCGTCTTCAGTTCGCAAGCTAGACGGCCCCTATTCGGCATGATCGCTCTTGAGGGAAGATCTCTCGGTCCCCTCGTTGAATCCCATTGCTGGATTCTCAGATCGCGCTCCAGCGCTGCCGTGGAGAGCTTGCAATGGGCGCTGATGTGCTCGCGCTCTTTGTGGGCCACGAGGAGATAAGCGGCGATTATTCTGCCGTGAACACGGCCGACAAGCTACGAACCGGGCATGGCCATGTTCAGCCTTACCAATGCTCTGCACGCCATACAGTAACCAACTGCCTGGTCTTGAGGTTGATGGAATCCCTAAGCATGACTTGCATGGCGAGATCTCCCTCTACGTACAGATCGTCCAGAAGTCCAATATCGAGAAACACTGGCGGTCGAAATTCGGAGTGGGTTCTGGTCTGAACAGCTAGGCGCAAGAACCGAAATATTGGAGATCCGACGCGCTGACCGTCAACAACGTGTTCGCCTTCGGCCCATTGGATCCCTGTAACATATAGTTGTATCAAACGTATGGCGCAACTGGTGTAGTGGTCATCACCATTCCTGCTTTCAAGAGGAATGGAGGGGTTCGATTCCCCACGTTGTCATAAGGTAAGAGAACGGGATTTTTTGCAAGGTTTGAAAGACATTCACTTTTGCTCACATCAATGTCAAGCAACCACCGGACGTATGTAGTACACGATCGTGATTTGGCTGCCTCGTTTAGCACACGCGTCATTGCTGGGGCTCACATTCTCAAGAAGGTCACGTGACCGCGTTTTTCGGCTACCTTCGTCCTCAACCCAGCCTCGGCAAGTACCTAGAGACAGACACTCGCTACAGAGGACCTACTTACTTTATACACACTATCTGAAGTCATATAGACAAGTGCTACTCTCGAAGAGGAGGTCCTTCGGAACTCTCTGCCCTCATAATCTTTCTACTGATCCCGTACAAGGCCGCGGTAGACCCGCCGTACCCGTATGAGTGACCTGCAGCTTGCGGGAGGTCTCGTACTCAAACTTGCTAGATGGCGAGCGACCCCGCTCATAGACTGCGATGCGCGCATTGACGATCAGTGGCACATGCACTCATCGCCTCTTTCGCGGTGTTCATATCTCGAACGCCGTTCTGCTCTGACCGCACATAGTTACTACCGGGATGCTGTCCGGGGTACGCCAGGTGGTTTGGTCCATGTAGATGTTGCATCCATGTTCCTGCTCAGTTTGCGGGTGGTGTAGGTGTGGATAATCCTTGACCCAGGTTCGCTCACGGGAATAGGGATCATGGGTGTCCTGACTCCTTACCTAGGCAGAACTGAGCATGATCCTCCCACGATCGCTTGTGGCGGCTGCCATTCAGTTTCGCCTGCGGGGAGCACGTCTACTTACTGCAGTATTCTATATCGTCGGACATCCGACGCGAGGCCCGTTCTTTTATCGGATGCAATCTCCTTTACGGCCGTCCTGATCAGGCGCACGACATGCGCCTTGATCTGTGCCTTTCTGTTTCTCCGGTACCCGAATCAGCGGCTTGACTTGAAGCTCATTCTCACGATCGACTGCCTTAATCCTCTGCTAGCAGCGCTTGGGGTTACACGCGGGCCTCTGCCCCTAATGGCATACTAACGCATAGGTACATCTATCGCGGTGGGAATTCGCGTGGCGCAGAAGGTAAGTATCTGTACGTAGCAAGGCTATCACTGCAAGAAACCCGTTTCGCCTCTTCAAGCGGTTCCCCACGAACGTGGTAGCTACCTTTTTTTCGCCGGTAATTCAATGACCATCATCGAGTTGTGAAACAACCTCGTTCTTCCGCACCTACGGCTCCCACCAGTGTATCGGAACCATCCCGAGCCCTCGAACAAATTCACTCTGGACCGAAGATCACCACGTCAGTCCCATGCCCTCCGGGCGGTGCTATAGTATGAACAGTGTAGATTCGAAGAAAATTCCTCAGTGGGCAATTCACAAATTCACAGGCCTCACAGTAAGAATTCTAAATCCTCGGGTATCTTACTGGCTCCGTCCTTCTTCGCCGGTCCTCCGGCCTCCGGCCTTCTCGAATAGCACTTAGGTAAGCAATCGGTGGAACTGGGCGGGGAAGTTGCATCCGGGCCTGCGCACGCGATGACTGGAATAAGTCAGCATTGCGTTTGCTCGCGCGTCACCCTTGACTAGAACCACCATCATTCTCTTTCCAACCACCCTCTCTTTAGCTCTTCAACCTCGCTTATTTCAGATCCATTCCCGAACAACACGCCCGAACAACACGACTAGTCAATATGTCCCTCTCGATTTGCAGTCTTCCCGTTGAAGCCGATCGGCGCAGAATGCGGTGGGAGCCGGTGTGGCTCGATTATCTGAAGTCCATCGCTGAGGAAGGGACAATCATTGGCAAAAACTCTGCTGTAACCGCGAGCGCCTCCACGACATTCGTACGCAGCCGCCGTCACCCTGCTGAATATGACTGATGGTGGCTCAAACAGGCAGGCATCTTCGCTGCCATCGTCTCGGCGTTCCTCATAGAGAGCTACAAAAGTCTCAAGCCTGATACGGGGGCGCAGACGGTGTTCATCTTGGAACAAATTTTGGTCGGACGCGACTCCAATACGACAGGGACCCTTGCGCCCAATCCCCCGCCATTTCATGTCTCCGAAACGGACGTCTTAGTCAACACCCTTTGGTTCGCTGGGCTGGTCATATCGCTCATGGCCGCCCTACTGGCGACGCTGTATCAAGAGTGGATCCGCCAATTCCTCAAAGCTGAAAATCGTACGAGCGACGAAACCGTAGAGGAACATTCACTTCGCCATCTCTCCATATATGTTGGCGCGCGATGGTACGGCCTGGATCTTGTCGCACCGTGTATCGTCGGCATGATGCACTTCGCCGTCGCCCTCTTCTTCTATGGGATGCACCTATTCCTATCGAACATCCACCCGCAGCCTGCCTGGTGGACGACCCGCCTCATCCTTGCTGGTACAATAGTCTACGTGGCTGGCAGCTTCATCCCGTTATTCGACGCCACGTGCTTTTACCGTACACCCTTAACATCATTCGCGGCACGTCTCATAGTGATCCTCGTGAGCGTCGTTGTCTGCGTCGCAACCTACTTTGGGATGCTTCTATGCGCCGCGACGCTGTTATTGAGGCGGTGCCGATTGCATCCCGTCTGGTCTTACCTCCTCGGTCTACGGCTCTGGTGGGGAATTTTACGGGACCCCCTGTACATCCCGCGTGGCGGGGGCGGAGCAGTAGCCTACGCCAAGCAACGGTTCTTGGACGGAATTTCTATCCCGATATCCTTTTGGGACTTCGTCATCGAATGTTCGGAAACAGGGGACGTGCCCCAGTACTATCCCCCCATGGGTGGGCACGAGCTGGGCGCTCTTGTGGACCACGTGGGAATGGCCCTCCTCGATTATCCCGCCTTCCTATTCCGCCTGTGCCTCGAGTTGCTCAATCCCCAAAACGGAGACGTCGGCGAGTTCTTCGTTCGAATCCGCCGCGATCCCGGGCTCGTAGAGAAACTTGCCGCGGATTTAGAGGCTATCACCACAGTCGACGAGGCAGCCGGGGCAGCACGGGCGCTCCAAATGGTGCTCTATCTTGGGACCAACGACGACGACATGAGGCAAGCTGCTTCGGATCAAGCGATTCGCTGGGAATTCTTGGATCCCATCCTCGACGCGCTTCCCCATTTCGTCAGTCTGCTGAACCACTATAACGTGAAAGCGATGGGAGAGGGAGATATCATCATCGTAGCAGCCGTGTGCAGCCTTCGCTGGTCGCTTCTATTGCTGTGGAAACGCATTCCTAGCGGCGTTCGTGCACATTCGCTTGCGGCACAGCGGTTGCAATGTGTGTTCCTCGCTTTCGAGGGTTCGCACAGCAGTCTTCGCTTGCTTCCCCTCTCTACGGACCACGAACGGTCGTTGGACCGCCTCTTCGCATCGGACGTCGATCCGTGCCGCGAGCTAGCACTCCGCAACGCTATGACACTTTTGTCCTCCGCTCTGAGGTGCAATTGGGAGGGCCCCTGGCGCGAGGCAGACGTCCCGTACCTGTGTGCATCGACGTGGAATTGGGACATCCCGTACTTGAGTTCGACCCGCACTTTGTGGGAGTGGAACAAGGAATTCCCAGACACCCACAGGAGGCGGCGAAAGCTGCCTGCATCTGCGGCGTTCCAGGACCTCTTACAAGATGCTCGCCTGTACGAGTGGACAGAGCCAAATGCGACGCTGACAACTCCCGCTGGCACCAATTGTCCTCCAGACGTTGTTCGCGCGCTGCGAGATCTAGCGAGCACCGTTGATATCCATGCGCCTCGCCCATGCGTGCCTGTCGCGAACGGTCGCCACACCCCGCCGACTCAGGATCGAGATCCGTCAACTACGCTTGTTTCCTCTGCGGTCCACAGCCCCGAGGCGCGCGGTCCATTAACAGCGGAGCGCCCTTTTACGAGCGCTGTATCGCATCACACGCAAGACACAGTGAACGGCTTCATGCCGGTAAAGATGTCGACGAAGGGCTCTTCATCAAGTAAGCCGAATCCAATGTAGCAGCTCGTGCAGCAGCGGACTTACTTCTCTCCCAGCATGACGGTGATCCCTCGACCCTCACCACCACTACGCACCGAGTCAGTGGCCAGACGCACGCCCCACAGCTCCGTTGGCCTCCATTAACTCGGAAATGGTACCTTCATGCAGACCTTGTTGGAGGAGATGGATAGTGATGTCGTCGAGTGGAAGGTTCGCCCGCGGCTGGGTATAGTGTGATGCGGAGCTGCTTCGTTACGAACACATTCTTTTATTTCGTCATTTATTGTATGTACATCAGTTTTCATGGAGACCTAGGAATTGTGTGGATCAAGGATTGTTGTTGACATATGCTCGTGAATAGTTTCCATTAGACGCAGACTGGCATAAGACGCAGACTGGCATCAGGGCTAGGCCGAAAACAGTGAAAGTCCCGCCCCGAATTTCTACAGGGACCCTTGAGAGACTACAAATGCCTCGTTAGCAGGTCGCCCATGCTCTACACGGCATCAAATATACGATGCCTAGTGGGTGCAGCTATCAGTTGAGAGAATGTTTTCGTCTGCGACGCGACCAGCTTGACCGTTAAAGGAATCAACGCGCCTAGTAGCATTCCAGAGCATTCCTTGCGCCTGGCGCACGTCCATTCGCGTCGATGCATCGTCGGTGCTTCACCTGTTTTCCGGCCTCTGTCCAGCCTTCGCTCTCACATAGTACGGATCATGGCTGGTACTAATAGTGCTATTGAGGTCGCAGTTCACCGTCTTGACATCGACGCATCGGAGACGTCGTGCCGTTAATGCCTCATGTCGCATCGCCGGGACAGCTCATTTCTTTGCACGGGCTAGCGACGGGCTATGGTATCCTACATCTGACTTCCATACCCATCCATCCACCCAGTACCAGGTATCTCTGCTCTACGCTCAGCGCACTTTGCACTGCGCGATCAGCTCGCTGCCGACAGGTTCGGCACGTCGTGGCACGCAGACAACACCCTGCTTTTCACCCAGTGCGATGCTACCGCCTAGCACGTCATAGTTCGTACTCAACTTCGTCCCTGGTCCCATGCCTATGGGCTCGAACAGAGTCTCCTCTCCCAGACTTGCAGCGGCACTCGGGGTCGCCGAGCGATTGACAGTCGCTTGCGCCGAGTCGGCGCAGTTCGCGAACGTTCGCGAACGCGACGCGGACGGCTTGCCATCCCCGCGCTCCACGCGCCGCGTCGCGTCAATGGGGCGCCCGCGCGTCGCGACTCGCGTCGACAGCCAATCATATCGTCGGATTGACTTTGGCATTTGTCTCTGACGTGAAGCATGTCCTCCTTTATGTAGAAGAAGATAGAATAATTAGAAGATAGGTTGCAGTAGCGACTATGGCGGTAAGGCTATCCGTCGTCCGTTGTTGGCAGTAATTCAGGAGGGAGCCACATTCACGATACCGGGTCAAAACGACGGTCCATCCAGCCCAAGTATGCAG